TTTCTCTATTAACAGTAAAGCTGTGGCTTTAATTCCTTTAGAAACAATGATGTTACCAGCTCCTTGTTGAGAAAGATAATGTAGCTCTTGAGCGATTAAGCTATTTAGTTGATAAAACTGCGGGGCAGCGCTAAAAAGTTTGGTCCTGAATGTCTGCAACATTTCGGCTGCAACGTGATCTGTGTGTGTGACTGCACTTAACATCAAACTGCTTCTGTTTCACACAAATTCCAGCACAGACGTGCATGTTCGGCTAGAGTCGCTTTGAACTCGTGCATCTTCGGAAGCGGAGCTGCGTAGAAAGTTACAAAAAATGTTGTGCACACCGCCACGCGAACTTCCGCCAACACCGCGATGACGTCATATTTGCCGCGCGCACCTAAGCGAACTTGCGGACGCGTCGAGTATAAATCAGCATTGAGCGTGTGTGCGTTAGATACAGTGAAGACAGCATGTTAGTTTAGAACTGTTCTAATTTTTTTTTTTTTATTGTAGAGAGTGTGTTAATTTGTGCAATGATAACCTACCAGCAATGTAAATGATTTTTTAAATATATTAGAATGAGTACATTACAATATAAATTTATTAGAACAAGTACATTACGTATCGTATCGTGACTTTGCTGGTGATACACAGCCCTAGTTACACATTCACACATTCGAATGGACAAATACACACAGAATTATATTAAAATACCCCATAAATACAATCAGTTATGTCTTAAGTGGAGAAAGAAAACAAGGGTGTATTGGATCCGTGCATTGACAGCAGCCGCTGCCGCTAGTCATTGTAATGTTAATCAAAGATCAAAAGAAAAGAAAATCCCTCACTGATCTTGACTGAATCACTTTTGTAACCTCAGTTTATATTTTATTTGCCTGTTGTTCGGTGCTAATGAAGACATTATAGGCTTCTCAGCTCGCCCCTCAACATGCATGCGTTTGGAGTTTCGGCAGCCCAACACTGAATATTATATTGTGGTTGTTGTATTTTGATTAATAAAATAAAAATTATAAAAATTACAATATAAAAATGAAATTTAAATTACCCTGCTTCTAATTAAATAAAGCAGTTATTTTTATTTCGTTAAAAACGGGCCCAAAGAGACCTCCGAACTAGTAGGCTACCAGAAACGAAAAAAAAAAAAAAAAACCCTTAACGCTTTTGCTCGGAATTCATTTTTAATCCCTGCATGATTTTAGTCATACATGATACATGTCAAATACGTTATAGCTTGACTACAAGTTTAAAAACAACGCTGCAGTTGTTATAATTAATGAAATTAAACTTACCATCATGAAATGTGTCTACACAGGCGATAATGCCAAAAAGAAAGAGAAACATCGGAAAATCTGCATATTTTATTCAAGACATTATTATATGACATCAACATGCATTTATCATTCTTAAAATCACCGCCAGAATGTCCAACTTCACCATGATGAACTTAAAA